AAAAAGAACCCAACAAAACAACCCACCGTCCTCCCCAACACAAAGGCCAAGGCACCAGCAGCAAACCCTAGAGAAAATGCCGAAGAAAATGAAAATATATGCAATATTTCTCTTCCAGATTGCTTTAAAAAGGCGGCTCGGTGGGATTTCTGTTCGTTCCGTGTGTGTTCTCCGTGTACGTGGTAGCGTTTTCTCGGCGTGTACCCCTTAGTTTAGGCGCTCGCGGTTGTTAATACGCATCCTCCGCGGTATAGTCCATATGTAATGTCTCTTACCTCAAGCTATTCTATGTAGGGTCTATGCAAATGTCTGTTATAGCACGTTCTGGCTTTATATAGTCCTGTAAAAAGTCGCTTCACGATGATAAGAATAATAATAAAAAAATAAATAATGTATTATTATGTGATTTCTTGATAATAAATAAAATTGCCCAAACGTCTACTTGGTGATTTACTGTTTACTGTTTAAAATTAGTATTAAGTTGCAAGGTTAATAAAAAGAGGAACAAAAATAAATATATTGGCCAGCCTCGCCTTCTGTGGCTTGTAGATCATCTTTTGGTAAAAAAAAGAAAAAAAAAAAAAGGTAATTAAATGAACGTGTAAAATGCATTGTAAAAAGAGAGAAATATCGCTTGCTGCGTGGCTCTAAATATAATTAGAAGAATCCTGGGGAAACAAGAAGCATAAGTTAATGTCCAAATTGCTGGTTTAATGAGAGTTATACTCGTGCGCGTAGAGTTAATGGGAAGCAAAACTCAACCGAGGTGCTATGTATATTTATTTATTTATTTTATTTTTTTGTAAAGAAGCTTGAATATGGGCTAATTGGGATTCTTTTGTCTCTGGTGGAGGGTACAGGGGGGGCTACACCTCTCCTTGGAAGCAGGTCCCTGCCCAAGGGGCTCCCACCCTCCCTGTGGACATCTCTAGGGATGGGTTTCCTTATGGATCCGGGAACCGGAGGAATGTCAAAAGAAATCCCGGGTACGGCTTTAAGATGGGAATGAGACGTGAAAGAGCAGCTCTTAAATTGGAAATATATTGGGCTGGGTTTAGATTCGGGCATGTTGATGCTTATTGTTATGGTTATGGTTATTAGGACCAGCGTTATTGCGTTTCTTCGGCGTAAACTCGCAGCAAATTCATTTAACAAGAGGAAAAAAAACAACCCCGTCAGGCCAATTTAAATAAATTAGATTACGATTTCCTCGATCTCTCTCCGAGCGGGTATTTATATATAATGGATTCTTGGCTTTTTTTTTCCTTTCGGGGCAGATGCCATGTTCTTCTCCGAGGCAGGGAAAAAAATAAATAAATTTTAAAAAAGGCTTTTAGAAGATCGATAAAGGATTTTTATTAAAGAAATGGCAAAGGAAGCCACGGTGGGGTTTACGGTGAATTGATTGATCCTTCCCCAGTCCTGGCCGTGTCCAGCCCCAAGCCCAGTAGCCCCCAGCCCAGCCCACCCTCCAGACTGGGCACACTGGGAGCCACCGACCAGAGCCTCAGCCCGGTGGAGTTCAGAAGAGGGGCTTTTTTCTGCGAAAAACACACGATCATGATAAATTAATATGTATTTTCCCCGTTTCCCCAGGCAGGAATCCCCAACATACGGTGGGTGCTCTCGAGGTCTTCCAAAATTATAAGATTAACCCAGTTTTGAACAGTTTCGTCTTTTTTTGTTCTTTTCAGGGGCTGCTCGATTTGGACAGGAGAGGAGGAAGGAGAAAAGCAAATATTTCTATAGGAATGGGCCCCACTTCTCCTTCCTCCAGCAGCAAACCCCCATCGCTCCTCCAGAGAGATTTAAGTTTGGGGATACGAAGAAGCAGCGTCTGGGGAAATCCGCAGGGGTTGGGGTGTCTACAGAGTGAAAATCCACCTTTTTTCCTGCAATAGTTACTTTTTTAAACTTTATTTTTTTAACACGGGTACACACACTTTCCCTCTGTTTCTCCTTCTCCGGGAGAACATACGTAGACATATATCGCATAAACAAACTCAAGTTAGAGATTTATTTTTTCAACACGGATACACACACTTTCCCTCTGTGTCTCCTTCTCCGGGAGAACATACGTAGACATATATCGCATAAACAAACTCAAG